TATTGTAGATTCAAATTGGAGAGAAGAGTTTAATAATTCTAAATGGTTATTGTTTTCGGTATTACATACATTAAGTGGGTTTTAGGAGTAGATTCAATCATCTCCATACCTTTTCGCGTCATCTAGGCCATGTGAATAATAAGAAAAATAATCTTCTAATTTAATGAAAAAGTTACATAAAAAATTAAATTTAGAATGGAGTAGGAGAACTAGTAAAAACTAAGGGAATTGCAATTAAAATAAAATAAATATGATCTCCCTTTGTAGAAACATTTTTAAATAAGGAAGATCTTAATTAATTGTGGCTAATTTAGATGAACGAATTTAAATATATTTTCCTTTTTCACATGACTAGGTATTTAAGGAGTTTTTCTCTTTTCTCAAACAAGCTTGCGATTTATGATTAATTTCCTTTCTTGGCTGATTCTCCCTCTTAAAAATAAAGATTTCTCGAGGGATTAAGAAAGAAAATCCCATGCGTGTTTTCCTTTTCCTTGCTCACATCATTTGTACTAAGATGGTTAACTTTTTGAAAAGTTCTCGTATTGCACCTGTATTTTGTGAAACAAAAAAATAAACAGTGACTTTGTAGTTTTTTGCAACTTTCTTTTGGAAAGTGAAAGTTGTTCATCATCATTCACATAACCTAGCAAGACCATGGCTGTTGTGAGGTTGGGTGGATGCTGCAATTCTATCTCCGTATTGATGTATTACTAGAGTCATCTGAGAAAAATTTCCGCATCTTGTTCTGGGGTTAGGTAAGGTTTGTGCAGCCTTCTTCTCAAAGAACTTTTTGTAGTCTTCTACCATACCCACTCGTTTCATGTAACTTGACCAATGCTTTTAAGGTACTAGGGGTCCAAAAGGCAGGTTGCATTTGGAAGATTTATCAAGTTTGTGTCAGGGGACTGACTCATTAGCTGCTAAACTGTGAGAGAAAGGCTAGGGTTTTGGCGCGAATAGGGCTCAGAGGGAGGAGGCAGAGAGAGAGAAGTAAAGAAGGAGGTGGAGGTTCAGAGAAGAGAAAGAGAAGAGAGAATAGAGAGAGCAGATTAGAGAATTTAGGGTGAATTCATATGGTTTTCGTTCATATGCCTATTGACAAACAGATATCTAAAGGGCACTGTCAATAATCATTTGCAGCAGTAACGGTAATATTCTTACTGTATTTGACAGCTGTCTATAGTCTGCTCTGTCCT